TGTAAATATGTCATAACAGGCCAGAAACCATGGCAGTTCTGTGGATGTGTTCTGTATGGACTTAATGCTTTCCACCCCCCACCTCTCCCCATACATGTGTCAGTCATTCTGATGATGGGATGGTGGAGGGGTAATAACCCTCCATTACTCCCCCGCCCCCATCTAGACGCCCTGCCCGGCGCCTGGGCGGCTGGCCTTCTGGGTGTTCCATTTCAGCACTGCTGGAGCCCCAGGGAGATTTATGCCCTTCCAGCCCACTCTGCAGGCCCTCTGCACCTGCTGCGCAGTCACCCGAGCCCCAGGCTTTTACGGCCTGCTCTGGAGGTGTTGACTATAGCGGGTGGGCCGGGCTGGGCTGGAGGAGGACAGGTGTGTGTATATGGGGGACCCCCTGATTGAGGGTCCCATGTTGGGGTTTTTAGGGGGCTAGGTTGCAGTGGTACCCCAATGTGCAGGGAGAGTGGGGGAGGGAGGAGGGAGTCTCAGCCCCCTTCAGACCATTAATTCAATTTGTGTCAGAAATTAGGAATGTGCTCCAATAAACCCTGCAGCTGCTCCGTCCAACTGGGGAACCGGGGGAGACACTCACCCCTCCTCGCTCCCTGTCTCCAATCCCTCCATCAGCCGCTCAGACAACCCCATAACCTATTTTCTCCTACTCACTTCCCCCTGCTGTCTACACATTCTGACCTCCTCTCTCCCCCTTTCTCACTCCCCCTATCTCTATATTAATCTGCCCATAGGGGATGAATACTGAATACTGGGCTGTTCATGGAGTGCTCTGTGTTTACGCTTCAAATAATTGAGTTTGAGTTGTGTGTGTGTGTGTGTGTGTGTGTGTGTGTGTGGGTGTTTGTTGGAGACCGTATCTGTGCGTGTGGGTTTGTTGACAAAGAATGTGTGTATTTGTGGTGTGTGTGTGTGTGTGTGCGTGTGTGTGTGTGTGTGTGTAAGTGTTTGTCTGAGACCGACAGTCTGTCCTGTTGTCTGTGGGTGTTTGTCAGACAGTGAACGTGTGTGTGTAGTCTGAGCTTCTCTGGGTGTGTTTCCAGCTGTCATTGGGAATGTTTCATAATGGTTTTCCGATTCAGTCCGGAGAATCCCCTTGGGAATGTCAGCTGTGTCCGGCCCAAACTATCTTCTGACCATCTCTGAACTACAGGCTCATAACAGGGACTAAGGGAACACTCTAATCTTACTATGACTGTAGCTAGCTAGCCAGTACAGTGTAGACTACAGCACAGTCAATGTCCACTTGTATGAATGTAGCTAGTATAGTAGAGAGATGGGCTTTGTTACCAGAAATATGTCAGGGCATATTCAGCAAACTGCTACTGGCATTCGGCATATGGTGGCAGAATTGGATACCATGTAGAAAGACAAAGAGAGACAGAGGGGAAAAGAGGGGGACAACAGGCAGAGAGCGAGAGACTTCAGAGAGATCTAAAGAGGCAGACGCATCAAGAGAGAAAGAAAAATACATGCAGATGTAATCTGAATGGAGAGATAGAAAGTGAGATGCAGATGGAATCTGAATGGAGAGATAGAAAGTGAGATGCAGATGGAATCTGAATGGAGAGATAGAAAGGGAGATGCAGATGGAATCTGAATGGAGAGATAGAAAGGGAGATGCAGATGGAATCTGAATGGAGAGATAGAAAGGGAGATGCAGATGTAATCTGAATGGAGAGATAGAAAGGGAGATGCAGATGGAATCTGAATGGAGAGAGAAAGGGAGATGCAGATGGAATCTGAATGGAGAGATAGAAAGGGAGATGCAGATGGAATCTGAATGGAGAGATAGAAAGGGAGATGCAGATGGAATCTGAATGGAGCGATAGAAAGGGAGATGCAGCTGAATGAGAGAGGGATAGAGAGACAGTAGATTAGTGGATGATTAATCCCTGGAGACAGACTCATGGTTAGAGCTCAACAAGGCTGTCTGCAGCTGGACGACAGAGAGTGGAGACCCTGTGGAGTGTGTCTGTCTAACGTGTCTCTCTTGACGTCGCTGGAATGTTGCCCTGACTTGGATGTGTTGTATGTCTCTCTCCTGTGTTCCTGGAGTGTTGTGTTGACGTTGTGTTGTGTTTGACGTTGTGTTGCAGGCTAGCAGAGTGATGCAGTGCTGGCACTTCTGGCTGGGGCTGGTCCTGGTGCCAGCAGCCTGTCTACTCAAAGACTTTGCCTGGAACGCGTGAGTAACACACTTATACTGCATAAATACCACTTAAATCAATGCATACATGCATGTGAACAGAACTGTTTTTCAGGTATGTTATAAGCACAGTCCTACCAGGATTTTGCAATTCTGCGATCGCAGAGTTTTTAGCAAAATCAACCATTCCCGCATATTATGCTAGGGCTTGCAAATTTGACCAATCATCGCACTATTACCGCATAAAACAGTCAAATTACCACATAAAACTGCCTGAATACAACACTACAAAAAGTGGGCTCGCAATTTTAACCAATCACAACACTTTTACCACATAAAATGGTTAAATCAAGCCACACGTCAACAAATATTTCCCTGCCAAAAATGTGCGATGCCAAATGTCTGAATTGCCGCAGTAAAATCAAGCATTTTTGCCCGCAGATATCACACAAAAAAAACACAGTGAAATCCTGGTGGGACTGATGAGCAATATAACCCTGTGAATGTGTTTTAGGGGTCGTCGCACTGTGAAGAAGTCTCTTCTGGAGGAGGTTCAGGAGCTGGAGGCCAGGGCTGTAGACCCAGGGGCCGCTGTGCTCCGAGACGCCAGCGGACGCAGGTCAGACACACGCACTGCATCATGGGATCACAGTTGGGGGGGGCCACAGACAGGAGCTTTACTGAACTTACTGCGACATAGTTCATGTCATTTTCATAGCATATCCATGTGAGATCATGATAATTCCTTGGACTGAGGGGTCCCCCCATTTGAAAGATTTTGTTACGAAGTCTGTAAGATTTATGTGTTTAATATGATTTATGTCCCGGTGTTTTAACGTCTAGTATGTACCATATTTGAGTGTTTGTATGAGAGTGATGTAACCATGGCCCGCTAACCTGTTGGTAACCTTTTTGGTAACATGGTTGACCCATCCACAGGGCCAAAGCCAACGCTGAGGTCCCCTAGCCCCAGAGCTCAGGGCACAGACACACACACACAGGTAGCACCTTGGCTTGGTTTGACCTGGCTCACTGTGTGAACTCTGACCTATGTGTCTGCTCCTGCTCCGCTCTGCAAGTCTATGAAGTGATCCCTGTCTCCCCCGTCTCTCTCACTGCATTCTACTCTCACTCACCCACCTCAGCACTCATGTCTCATATCATATTGCTTTCTTTTCTTTCCCCATCTTTTTCCCCCCTATCCCTCCATCTGATTCTGTCGAGTCAGGAAGTGGACAGGTTTGCACTGCTGTAAGGACTGGGTGTACTGTAGCTTCTGTGGTTGTGTGTTAGTTAGCCGTTTGTGTGTGTTTGTTTTGTATTGTGTGTTGCAGTCAGTATATCTATCATAAGAGAAGGAGTAGAACCATTCAGGGTTGATCATGTTAGATGGGGTTTAGAACATTGGAGGTATTAGGCCATATTAGGTTGAGGAATGGAGTGGGAGATGAAAGATTGAGGTTTGGCCATCTGAGGGGCTGTTGTGTGGGATATTGGCTGGGATGGGTCTCTTTTGTGGGCTTTGGGCAGGAATAATAGTCCTCAATCATCCAGTCAGACATCCAATAGTCACCAATCATCCAGTGAGACGGCTAGGCTAACAGTCCAGAGCAGAGAAATGGCTTGGACAGAGGTGGGCTGGGGAGGTGCTTGGGGACAGGGAGGGGAGGCAGGCTGTTGTTGTTGGACGGGTGGGCGCACACAGCCTTCCCTAGCCCCAAGGTGAGGGCCTTGTCCTGGACTGAACCTTCTCCCAGACATGGGTAGGAACCCCCAGCGATGACCATGGAAAACATTGAGGAGGAGTTTGAGAGCAACAGAGGAGAAATGCACACATCTGTATTTGTATTTCATAACGGGAGAGGGTTGGGATGAGGGTGGGGGTGGGAGGAACTGAGGGGGTAGAGGACCAAAGTTTCTCTGGGAAAGTATTTAGATGTGTCGCGTCCTTGGACTGTTTGTAGTCTCACTCCCCTTTCAGACAGCGACACTACAGGGGGCGACGCGACGGATTCACTCATGAGTTTACAGATGTACTATTTATATATTTATTTATTCATTTATTAGTCTATCCATTCGTTCTTCATTCATTCACCTTGTCATCCATTTAGCAGACCTCATTTTCTTTGGCGAATGATACGGTTGCAAAACTTCAGAAAGTTTTTTTCAGGCTTTGCCAAACACACCAGGTCTAGATTCCCTGTGGTACCATAAAGAATAGGTCTCTGCTGCTTGCTCAGAAGTGTAACCTTGGGGAGGCTGGCCCGGGTCCACACACTCTGTGGATCGGATCAGGGCCCCTGCCCCAGTGCCAGGGAAACCCCTCTCATGTGATTTAATGCCTCATTGGCTGCCTGATCTAGAGAAGTAACCTACCTTGTTTCACAGCGGAATCAATCTGGGAAGTATTCTGTAAAAGCATTCTGTTAGGAGGAAACATTATATTCTGTTTGGATACTGACTGTTATCAGAATCTTTAGCATTGCCATTAGTGATAAGAAGGATTGAGAGAGAGAGGAAGGCTGGGGGATGGTGTATCTGTCTGTCTGTGTGAATTTGTGCGTGTTTGCATGTGAGCGTGAATGTTAAGAGTAGAGGAGTGATGACGGTGTTTGTCCTGGAAAACAGAGGCTGTAGTCTTCCTCTGGAGAGAGCAGGAGGAATGGGAGGGGGGTTGGGCTGTCTGTTTGCCCTGCAGTCACAAAATGAGATGGGATTGGATTAACTGAATGTCAATCTGCTCTTCAGTACCAGCCAAAACATTATGCCCCCTAGCCCCTACCCTACCAGGTCTGGCTCTGGTAGTCACATCAAGAAGTTGTCTTGTCTTTGGGTAAAGTCT